GCACGGATTCTATCTACCTCCATGGGGTTCTGATTTGGACAACATTCAGCCGCAAAATGGTCCTGTTGGGCTCAGTAAGATGCAGAAGGCCGCTCTCCGAGATTGGTGCAGCATATCACAATGGCTGGCACGCCAAGGCCGCAATGATCTTTAAAGCAGAAGGTGCAAGTTTGTACCGCTGACTACTATATCCTGTAGTTGCTATCTACTATGAACGGAATTCTTTCTGTTGGCTTGAAGCTCAGTACTTTGTGTTGCTCAGAGTCTTCTTTAATCCTGGTGGCCTACCTTCTACCTTCCAGGTAGCTCGATCCAGGTTGCTTTTCATTAGTTCTAGTTGAGACAAATTATAATCCACTTCTAAGGATCTGATGTTTTTTAGCTTTGGCAAGACACTGGGAGGTTTCCACCCACAAATTTGTGGTACCTTCGTTTAAAGTTGGGTGAACACGTTCCAGGGTGTTTGGATAAAGCCTTGATATGAACTTGATGTGATACCATGGTTGCAGACACACGCAAGCGTGCGCTTGTGCCAGGTCATGCAGACCAGGCCCCGATCATTTTTGAAGGTCGGCCTGATGCCAGTAAGATCCGGCAAGGCCGTGTCACAGACTGCTCCTTGATGTCCGTTTTGTCAGTGCTGGCCAACTATGACAATTGCTGCAAGACATCAACCCTGGAGAGTATTGTGCAAGGACCTGTGAGGAGAATTCAGAACACCGTTGAGTATTCATGTTGCCTTTTCGTGAATGGTATTTTCCGATGTGTCCTGGTTGACGACCTGGTGCCCGTTTCCACCAGCGGGAAGTTGCTTTGTGCACATTCAGCATCTTCACGTGAGCTTTGGGTTTTGCTCATTGAGAAGGCTGTCGCGAAGATTATGGGTGGCTCCTATGCGATGCGAGGATCGAATCCCAGCACAGATGCATTTCATCTCACTGGGTGGATTCCAGAGACCTTTCCCTTTAAGGAGGAGACTGGGGAGAGTAGTACTTCTCAAACAGAGTGGATGAACATCTTTGACACGGCACAGCAAGGTTTTCGGGATGGACACTGTGTGCTTTGCGTTGGGACGACAGAGCTACCAGATGCTACAACCAGCGAGTTGGCACTTCGTAGCGGATATTCGGAGGGGGTGAGCTCTTCAACTGGCTTAGTGGCAGGTCATGCGTATCCTGTGCTGCAGTGCCGCTTCGAAGAGGGTCAGCGCTTGCTATTTCTCAAGAATCCTTGGGGCCATACCAGATGGAAGGGTCGTTTTGGTCCCGGCGATTTGATTTGGAAATCAATGCCAACACTTGCATCCAAGCTCGGATACAACAGTGAGGCTGCTGCCGTCGATGATGGTGCCTTTTGGATTCCCTGGGAGGATGTTGTTCGGTACTTCAGCCACTTCTATGTGGCTTGGTCACCAGCAGCACTACAGCTGCATGAGGTACAAGCACATGGCTGCTGGAACCCGTGGCCACATTTTGTTCAGAGCATTTTGCCAGATGATACAGACATTTTGGCCTTCAATCCTCAATTTCACTTGCAGCTGAACGAGCCACTACCAGCAGCTGAAGGTGTTGGACTTTGGGTGGTTTTAAGCAGGCACATCAAGAGCCAAGCTGACTATAATTCTCATTTCATCTCAGTAAGTCTTTACAGTGGCAAATCGCGCATTTGCTGTCCAAATACTGTTTTAGAGCAAGGAGTCTTCTCGAACGGTGAGTGTGCGTTGGTGAAGTTGCGAAATAATTCAGCGAATACTCAAGACTTCACAGTGGTGGTCTCTCAGCATGGAGCAAAGAGAGCCTTCAACTACACGATCCAGGCAGGGGCTGACATACGTGCATAGAGATCAGATTTGCTAGAACAAAAAGTATACACTCCCTGAAATAATCATGGCAGTGGAAAACCGCCGCCTGCCGTATCCGGTCGTCGAGCCTGGTCATCGTGCACCCTGGTTGGGTGCTACAGACAAGAGACACGCATTGGATTATACAGTATACATGTAATATATGTATACATCATAGATTGAATGCTTGCTTGCCTCCGAGCTTTGTGGAATGGCCCTGGCATAGACTTCCATTGCACAAGTACGAAACAGGCTGGAGAGACTTCTAAGAGGGGTTTGTAGGGAAACACCAACCTTAGAGACAAGGAACAAGCGAAAGGGACCCAAGGGTGGTGGGCACCGCACTAGTAGCTTGATCTAGCTTCCACCATCCAGGTCTACACACAAGTGGCGGCGACACTTGTTGAGTTGCCTCCGTTGGTACCAAACAACTATGCCTCTGGCTCTGTTCGGGGCGAATGGACGCGGCGCACTGCTGGAGGATGCAGCAATAGTGCTCCTAAGCCGCAAGCTGCAAATGAGACGAGAAGAGACATTGGTAGGACCTGAAGATCAGATACAAAATTCCCATCCATTGAGGGTGAAACATAGTCTGTGTTGTGAGACATACCGGTCCATTGCTAGCATTCTCCTCGGGACACTTGAAACTTGAAATTCACATCACCGCCATTGGCCATTGGACTTGAAGTGCTCTGGGAGCTGATACGTAGCAGTTACTATTTTCCCGATAGTACCATGTCATGTTTTAAGACAAGACAAGACATGTCATGTTTTAAGTTAGTATTTTTAAGACGGCATTCGATTGAGGCACCGTGCCGGAGCCAAGGTATGGTCATTTTTCCAGAATCCTCAGTGGAGCTTCACCGTGCCACCGGAGGGATTACAGGATGTGTGAATCCAGATTGTTTGCCCAGAACTACAGTGTCTAGTATAAAAGTGCAATTTCACATCCTTCAACCTGTAACACAAAACACAAACCTTGCCCGAGGCCCATCATTTGAACCTTTGAGAAATCATTGAGTTGACAGCCCCAAAGCCTCGCCTTGAAAACGCCGTTCGCGTTGCCAGGAGTTGATTTTCTTCTTGGAATGCCAAGACGTTTCGGTGAATTTACGCCTCTTCACCGATGCCGTCGCACGCCCTGAAGCACTCCGGAATGCCACCTCCAGCGGGGCCTATCGCCGGGGCTGTTGCATGCTGCGGCTGAAAGACTTGGAGGGGCTTCAGACCTATGTCCTGGTGGTCTCTACCTTCCGCCCAGGAGTAATCTCCTCAGTACAGTGGAGGAATGCAACATGTTGTGGCCACTTAGGGTCAAGGACTTTTTGTCAGTTTTGGAATGAGCGAAGGAAGATTCAAGAAGTGCAACTCTCCGACAAAGCACAATATGAGTTTCTGAGGTTTGTGGCTCTTATCGGCTTGCCTGGCACGCATCAAGCAGCATCACCATGTCGCCACAGCCACATCCCTTCGTAGAAGGAGCCTTGGCACATCCATTGAAGTCCGTGGTGCAAAAGATGAGCATCGGCTCCATGGTCGAGATGCAGCTCCGCCTTGTGGAGCAGACAGCCTCCACGGCGTGTCAAGCTTGTCGCGTGAGTGTTCGGTTGCAGGGGAGCTATGATGGAGGCTCGGCAAAACGAGAATTGTAACAACGTGTGCACCATTGCTGCCTGCCCTTACGAAGTGCTCATGACTAAGTCAGCTCAAACATTAGGAAAGATGTCATCCTGGTGCATCTATTCATTCCATGCGGTGCTGCCAGGCGAGCTTCCTTATTTGGAGTTGAGCAGTGCCCACCCATCGCGGCAGGCGCCATACTGTGTACGTTTGAAAGCCTCTGATGCAGAACAGTGACCTTGGCTAGGCTGCAACAAGGCAATTTGCATATCTTTGATCAGGAAACTGTGAGAACAATCCAACTTGGTTCGTCCCTGCAAAAAGTCCAACTCCATGACTCACTTTGATTCCAACGAGGTATTTCCAACTTACGGGCGCTTCAGTGATCCTCTTTGCACAGCTGAAGCCCTTGGAGAGCTACGTGCTCCGTGCCAAAGTGCCGCGAAGTCCTGGAGCCCGAAGTGCGAAGCTTTACATCAACTCAGATCGCCTTGTTCTACTAGACACTTGACAGCATTGACACGCCCACATCCAAAGACACGTTTTTTTGTTCTTGTTACTGGTGTCTTTCGAGACACAAGTCCAAATATATTGTGGTACATACATTATGTAATATAGTTTTGAACAGTGACACATCATCCGATGTCAATCCCAGAATACTGTATCTATGCTGCATGCCGAAACATGAACAGCTGCAATGTCACCCAACTGGGGGCTTGGAGTATACATGGTGTTGAAAGAACTTAGGAATACTCAGAACCAAGTGCTCCTAAATAATCCTACCTCCCTCTTAAAAATGCCTTTGAAGAAGAGTCCTGGTATCTGAGGACAGCCCAATGAGCCCACGAGGACGAAGGAGGTGAAGATCTCCACGATGTGCCGGTCGGACCTGCAGACTACAACAGCGCACTACTTGCTTATGAAATCAAAGGACCTGCAGACAGGGTGGAGGACCTCTTCCCCGATCAAAGGACCTGAAGTCTCGCGTGCCTTGGAGGAGTCACACAAGCTCCTGATTGATCCTGCAAGAGTGGTTGCCGCAGTTCCGTGCAGATGCAAAACTGCGCTACTCTGGAGAAGGATCAGTTTGTCGCACTTGGCTTGCTCATCCGCACTTCAAACTGCAGAATCGGACATCTCAAGATGTCAAGATGGAGCTGCCAGGGTGCTTTGAGTGACCTCCCTCCATGCTTCAATGCTGTGAATCATGCAATAGCAATAGTTCGAGCCTGGAGTATCACCCTCAAACATCCACAAGTGAATGCCCATTGCTAAATTGCAATGCTGGCGAAAAGGCAGAGATCAAGAGAAAGTGAGAAGAGAACGTTGAAACTTGCTTTTGCTCTTTGTCGATAGCTGCTGTCTCTTGCCATACCGAGGTCTTGGGATCGATGCACTGATTCGGAAAAAGCCAGCTTGAAACAGGAGATGCAAAGATGTCAAGAACCACCTGGTTTTTCTGTGCATTTACTTTATGATAGTTAATACATTGTAAATTGTAAGGGCACGGGCTATTGATTCTATGAAGAACCACTGCTAGGCAGAAGCATGTCCTGGCTGCGGGCTTCAAGTCAGCGATCTGAGGTTCGAGGAAGTGTTAGGGTTGGTTCAGTGACCTGTGAGAGAGCGTTTTACTTTAACAATGTTTGCTTGAGTGTCAACCCCTTTGCATTTGCCAGCATTCTTGTCAAACTCTCCAAGAGCAGGCGTCACATGAAGCGATGCTGCCCCGAGCGGCTTCCAGAGAGAATCGGATCAGCTGAGGACATCGATTTAGAGATTCACATATATATATATATATACAGTAAATATATCTATTATAACCGATTACCACAATCATCATGGTCTTGAATCTTTCAGAGCAGAGTGGGAAGCAATCATTTTTGCACAATCATTTTTGCAAAAACAATCCAACAAGATGACATGCCCTGGCTATCTTAGTCCTCCCTGCATGCAGGACCGCCGTGCTGCTCGTAAGGCGGCCAGTGAAGAGGCACAACTCTTCAACAGGATCTTGCCACAGACCTATTTGGGACTCTCGAGCATGCAGGAATTTATTTCTGCAACAAACTTGGGATTGTTATAGATTGTACATGGACGCAACACATGTACTGTATGACATCAAGAACTTCATGAACAATTCTGCACATAAGTTGCTTATATTTAATGGACTTTAAACCATGTGAGGATTGCCTAACGCGGCCTTTAATCCCAGCATCCGATGCAGGACTGGATCAGCGAAGAGGAGGCTGCAGCTCCTGACGCATTCTCGGAACCACTTTTCGAACGCAACCGACTTTCGGATATCATGTTTATATTTATATATATGTTCATGATTATTTATGTGTCTTTCTGGAAGCCAATACTCCCGCGATGTAAGAAGCTTTTGCCCTGTGGGTCGCTTGACTTGTAAGATCCAGACTTCGGACATTTCGTTGCAGGTCAAGCAAGCTGCCTTGAAGTCCTTTGCCAGTGTCAAGGATTGCACTCGAGGTTCTTTGACACTCGAGACATCATGAGGCATAGAATGTGCGTCTAGCAATGGAATTTTAGGTACACACAATTTGTTACACTGTTACACACACACACTTGGATTTCTTTTTTGGTACAGTTCTTGCACTAGTATCACTGAATCAACATGTGGCCTGTCTTTGCAAATGGCTTCAATGGCCTGACCAGGTTCAACGGCCCAACACATGTGCACAAATCACAAAAAAGAACTTTCTTTTGTTCTTCTTTTTTCATGTTTATCCTAAAATATGTTCAAAACCAATTTGCAAATGCAGTGTCCAAGCTGTAGGACCCTTTGCATCGTCGAGTTCTAGAGCTACGCTTCGGTGCTGATCAAGGAGCAATGCATCGACAGAACTTGGATTAGCTCAGCCAGATGCTTTTGGGCCCAACAGGTTGATTTGAGACCTGTTTGCTGTTGCCAATTGTCCTTTACCAGCACAACTGATGCCGTTTGTGACATGCTTTGAGCGGCATCAGGAGGTTTGCGCCGTAGCCCTGCAGAGGTTGCCGAGGCCTTGGGCGGTAAGTACCACGGAAAGGCAGAGGCGCGGATGCTGACAAACTCGGCAGAGGTTTCCCTGCGCTTAAGTGGACTTGCTCTTTTGGAAGACGATGGAAGGTGCATGACGGTGCAGAAGCGCTCTTGAATCTTCCGCATTCAATGGTGCTTTTTGTTTTGGCGTATGGCTCAAAAGCTGAACATCAGGGTGCTTCACCCTTTCTCCTTAGCTTGAATAATACAAGTGAATATACATGTTATAGCACAACATATGATAAACATAGGTGCGTGGGTCAGGTTGTATACTGTATCATTGTTTGGAACCAACCTTAGGGATTATCAGCTGTCATGAAAGCTTTTGAGTTGTTTGAACAGCTGAACTGTTTGGCCCTCACGCAACAATTTGTTCAGCTGGCATCAAATAATCAACCGTGTGCTTGCAGGCTTCCCGTCGGCCAACTTGTTTGCATGCAATGGATGCATGCTTGGCGAGGATTGCCAAAGGACAGCAACACACACACACACATATATATATATATCAGGCTGAGTGGAGACCTGAGAATCAGGTGTTGCAGCAACATTTCCTAGATCTAGTGGAGGAGAGCCGACATGGGAAGACATGCAAGCTGCAGCAGATGGTGGATGGCAGCAGCAACCTGCTTGAACTTGAACTTGAGAGATAGAGAGGGAGAGAACACCAATTTTGCTAGTGTGACTCTGTGACTTTGTGATGGATGAGTTTTCTCCCTTGATAGGCAAGCAATCAGTGCAATGTTGGAAGCTTTGGCCGATGGACATGAAGATATGGCTGATCTCCTTTTTGCCTGGGGAGTATCACCGGACCTCGGGCGGACTGTGGCCGATCCGCTTGTGGAGAATCCCACCGCGGGTGACATGTGTGTGTTGATCCTGGGCTGGGGTGGATCCAGTACCGAGCAGCTGGAAATCATCCAGAAATGGTGGCGAGAGCGTGGCTTCCGAACCTTGGCCACCACTTTCTGCAGCAAGGCGGTAGAGAAGCAGCTGATGGAAATTAAGCGCTTTATTCCTTCTGGGGCCGATGTAATGGTCCATGCCTTTTCCAATAATGGCATGTATTTGCTGCAGCATCTTTGCCAAGATGCTGGCAGAACCTGGCGCCTTGCGGGTGTCATTGTGGACTCAGCACCAGATGTGAACATCAGTGCTCCTTTAATGAGACAAGTGGTCAACGGCTGCATCCGGGCCTTGTGTATCTCAGAATAAATTAGGACTGTTTCCACTTGTTTATTTGTACAATGATCGGGTGTCCAGTTCATTGGGTGTTTTATGTTACATAGTTGAGGCTTCCGCAAAGCTCGAGAGGTCATGACTTCAGTGGACTGTTTAACCACCCCAACACCAAAGAAGCTCTATACCAACCTTGATGCACTGACTAGTGAAGAAAATCTGTAGGGAAGATGACATGTTGGCACTCTCTTTTCTTACAGTGCAACCACTGCAGGCATGTTGAACAGGGTTGTGATTGAGAAGAAGGCCGAAGCCGCGCTCACATCGCTAAACATTGTCACCCCGCTACGGGTTGGTGACTCCATCAGCTTTTCAGAAAGAACACCCAACGTCCTGGATGCAAGCGGCCACCGGCGAGGTGTGCTGTTGACCGGCAGAGGCCCATTGAGCTAACAGACGCTGTGCATGCGAAGTAGATCGAATAAGTAATTAAAGACCTCCTTATGCTGAGCTGGAATTCTGGAATTCTCTTAATAGCAAGTTTTCAGCTGACATGTTAGACTTACTGCATGGTATTCTTTGCTTCTCGAATTCTTCGACTTGAAGAGTTGGATTCCGCGTGTGCAGGCTGTCTTTCTCAGCAAGATGAAGAGGCAAATGCGAGTGCAGAGAGATTGATTGAATAGCAAAGAAATGCGTTGATCAAAAAAGAAAAAAATATATATAAGTCATTAATAAGTCATTTCACTCCTTGACAGCTACCCTTGGGACCTGTCTCGAGGCTGTCGTCAGCTTCTTGGATCGACCTCTTCAGGGCAAAGATTTGCACCAACTGAAAACCTTTCAGGTGTCCAAGGCGCTTCTTGCTCCTAGTAGCGATGCCAAGAGCCCCTAGTAGCTTCTTGCTCCTAAGGTGTCCAAGGCTGCTTCTTTGTCGTGATTTCCGGATTCCTATTGCTCAATGATCAATGTATGGTCCCATACCTCATTTGTTCGATGATGCACATCACCAGTGCCGGGCATGTGACATAGACTTAGACTCCTTGCTGAAGGCAAACTGAAACGAACGATATAGAATGCAATATCCATACTGTACCAGGATTAAGTATGGGCAGTATGTGATCGTTTGAGAGTTTTTATCAGGTTGAGATCAGCGAAATCTCCGACTTTCTCAGCCGGGAAGATGCTCCTCTCCTCTTTGTATACTCCTCCTCGGACACCCTCATCAAGCCACAAGCAGTTGAGGACTACATCAAAGCATCAACTCGCAACTTAGCTCCACCTTGTCGTTGCTAGTTTTGCATTGCCTTTGGCCTTTGCATTTGTTTGTTCTTGTTGTTGTTCTTTGCTGCTGGATGGAGATATTGCATGGTTCGAGGAACTGGTATGTTTGGTGCGTTGAAAGTCTCTTTGATTTTGTCGTTGCACTGTGGACAACTATGGGCGGTGTATAGTGTGGATATGTTTTTCCACGCTGAGGAGAAGGGCAGGCTAGCAGCAAGCGCTTCACAGGATCACAGCACGTCCGCCATTTCCAAAAGCACTTTGACCCTTGGTGATTGAAATTGAATCTAGTTCCACAAGGAAGTTTCGACATAATTACATAGTGTGTATGTATAGTATGAGAACAATATACTTTTTGCATGTCTATATCCTGGGCTAAGGACGATTATTCTGCTGAAGTGAGCCGCTTCGTAGATGTTTGCCGGAGCCCTTCGCATGCTGGTGAAAATCTGCAGAGCTGATCTAGCGTTCAATCTTTAGAGCACGATACTAGGAGCTCCAATGTCTCTATGCCAGGGTTGAGAATCCTAGTAGGATTCGCTCCTGAAGGGCACATCCGTCACCATTCGTCCCACGATATAATATAGATTCTATTGAACCCTTCGCTGCCAGACTGCTCTGATGCTGATTCGCCAAGCTTTGCGGAGCATTCCCTTGGTGGCCGATGACCCAAAGGACGCTTCAAAAGAGAGCGGAATAAGAACCCGTTGGAATATGTTTGGCCCCAAAGGATGTGGATTTCCAGGAATGCTTGTAGCAAGGAATCTAATAGCGATGGCCTCCAACCTACGAGCGATTGCCTCCAACCTCTAATAGCGATGGCCTCCAAACTAAGAGCGATGGCCTCTAACCTAAGAGCGATGGTCTCCAACCTTTAAGCTTCTGGAGACATATTAATCTCCAGGAATGCTTTGTCCGGATCTTGATAGATGTAGGTGGTGACTAGGGCTTCCACCGCCTTTGGAGGATTTGGTCGTCGTCTACGAGGACCAGAGCTAAAGTCCTCCTGTTCCTGGCAATTCAAAAGCCTCTGTGAATTCAGTGATTGGATGAAGAAGACTTGAGACTTGCGCTACTGAACTGGTGGTATCCACGTGTCCCCTCGTTCAATGAACCAGAGGATGAAGACCTGCTTGCCGTCTCCAAGCCACCCTTCTTGCGTGTTACTCCAGTACACAGGCAGGACATAGAATGGACATTTACACGAGGTCGTCCTGCTGGTGTGCAGGTTTGTGGGCAAGTCCTTGACAAATCAGGCTGGATGTTGAAGAGTCAGATTGTGTTTTCATGTTCTCTCTCTCTCTCTCTCAGGTGCTGGGATACCTTCAAGCCACCTATGGGGAGGAGCCCAGACCCTGGATGAACTAAACTCCAAGAAACATGTTGGACTAACAGTTTCAGGTACGACTCTCCAATGGTTCTGCATCGTTTAGTTGGGCCCTTGGATTTCTTGACCAACGATTCAAGTTGAGTGCCGGCCACTTGTCAGGACCAGACCACCAGCGGCTTAGTTCTTTGTGCAAAAAACAAGGACCGCTGTGACAAGCATCCTCGCCCTTGCAGTGCTATCCCTTGACAATTCAGACCACCTGGTGCCACACAAGTTCAGCAGGTATTGACATGGAGGATTCGTTCATGTATTTTCATGTCAGTGTGTGTAATCAAAAAGTGGGACTTCTCGATCATTGGTTTTTGGTCCAGCTTTTCCCAGGGCCTACGGCCTATGTCATATTTCAAGACACAAAGGTCGTTCACTGTTTTTAATCGTTGCAGGAGGCTGCTCGGATTTGTGGTGCCGGAGTCCAAGAGGGTTCGGCCTACTCCCTTAGCTTCCATGTAATGTACCACGTGGTGAGGAACGCTGGCACGATGAGGAGTGCAAGAAGGACAACTCAATTCAGCATATCGAGCTTTGCAGTCCTTGCTAGATTAAGAAAAGGATCCAGGTATGATCATGTTTGACTCTTTGTTGTTCCAGGAATACCTTGCCATCGCCTTGCCCACAGCGTCCTGCCAACTGAGCAATGTGGGTGATATGCTGGTTTGCCCTCAGCCCGCCGTTCAGCTGCTGTTCGATTCCTTTGCCTTTGAGAAGACACGACAATTGATTCAGTTGCTACTAGGAGCAAGGACGCTACTAGGGGCTCCTGGCATTGCTACTAGGAACAAGGACGCTACTAGTATTGGATTTTCAACCTCCATGTGGAAGTTGCTCAAAAAGTGTGACCTCAGCCTCAGCCCTCAGCTGTCGAAACATTCAATACTCCAGGCACCTTGCAGGTGCACGGGACATGATTCACAGATGCCTGCACATTCCACCTTTGTTATAGTGGTTGGTATAAGTACAACCCAAACTCTATATATAATATATAGCCGGTATTTCCATTTGTAGCTCTATTATTCTGAGACAAACAGAAGTCCTAACAAGAAGAAGTCCTCGGCAGACCCTCTTGTCAATTCGGATGATACACTCATTGCGGCCGTCTGAGCCTGTACGGCGCTTGCTCCGGGCCCCACACCCTTTGGGACGCCATGTACATCCTTTCCGGGTACAGGCTGGAATGACAAAATCAGAAATGACAGATTCAGATATATGTTGTGGATGTATCTCTTGAATTGTTTTCCAAAGCCAAGAACCATTTTAATTATTAATGGCACATAATATGATGGAAGCCGCTCTCAAGTAAAAAGCGGCAAGGTTCACTCAGTCAGTGGCGATCGTAGAGTTCAGAAATGGCCGGGCCCCACAACTGATGCTGGTATCCGGTATACAAGGATTGGTATTCTTTTTTCATGCTAGGTCCGCACTTGATGTACGCTGGACGACTGTGAAGATCTGACAGCTTGGCCACTCCTCCAACGCCTCCCAACGATAGAACAAACATAGTAAGAGGCAATAACAGCCAGCACTGAAGTTCACACGTGTGTATGTGTACCACACACACACATGCCCGTGCGCAAGACTGCCGCAATGACTTGCGATTGGAGTCTTAGCATCTTGATATTCGTAACATAATATGATTTAATATATATATATGATTTTTTTATAGGGTGTTTCCTCCTACCTCAATTGAGATGTTCATCGGTTCTAATTTCACTGTATGAACAGGTTTGAGATTTCCTCGGAGGCGACATGGAGCAGATCAGCCACGTGCAGTGCCTGTACAGTAGTGGCCTTTGCGCATCGCCCAGCTCGGAAATCCATCGCATGCGGCGTCACCAGCACCAGAGTGGAGCTGGACCTGGAGACACTCGAGGTACCTTTGCCTTGAAAGATGAAAGCGGTTTTGGTACTCTCACTCCGTTTGCTTTCAGTTCTGATTTCAAGCATGATATGTTGTATCTCGAAGTGGTTTGCTTGCATACCCAGACCAGTGATGCTTGGCTAGATATCCTTTTCAGGTCATGGATGTCTTCTGTGAAGAAGATGGACCAGTGCGAATTCACATGAAGTCGCCCCTGGATGGCTCTGCGAGACAATTTGACCGCCCTCGTGACCAGCAACTCCAGAAAACTTTGCAGCGAATGGCCTTGACCCTTAAGAGGGGTCCAAAGAAGAAGACCAAAACGAAGAAAGCCATGCTGAGAACTAAGGAGGCTCAACAAGACATACAACAAGTGTCCTCCAGTGAAAGATCGTCTCAAAGCCAGAGTGATAACATTGCAAGCCAGGTGCAGCTAGTGGAACCTGACGACTGTTTATATGACAACCAGGGGCAACCGATCAACGATCTTCTTCCACTGGCTGATGCTTTCACATCGGCGAGGAAACCGACATGCCTGATGCTTGGCAGCGATCTCAGAACTCTCAGAAATCATTCAATGCACTTGATCAGTTAAAGGGTCTTTTGCGCCTTGCTCCAGTCAAATTACCTTCCATCTTTCAAGCAATGACTTGCGGTCTTCGCCCTACTTCTTCACTGATGCGAATTGAAATCAACTTGATGCAAAATATAGAAACCGCAATGTAAGGTGGCCGGAGGTACCGGATTCGCCTGAACCGGCCGCTTGTGAAGACAATCACTTGCGGTGGCCAGCCAATGGCTGGGTTTCGTTTGGTGCCAGTGGCACACTGGGATGGTGAGCAATCCATCCGATGGGAATGGCGGACCTCTTCCGGTGAGTTGTTGGCAAGGACACGCTGCTTCACACCGACAGAGGCCTATCACTTGAATGAATATGACATGGAAGACGATAGTGGGACCTGAGTCAAGCCGGTGTAAATGGACTGCACATGTGCCATGGTAGGCAAGGCTTGATAGAGGTTGTTCATAGTTGTTCATGTGCTGGATCAAGCGTGAATGGACAAATTGGCAGCCATGCCAAGTAGGACAAAGTTCGTTGATCATGTACTAGTTGACGCTGACACACGAGGCGGATGTTGGCTCACGCTTGGAAGTCGTCGCCCGACCACCTTTGGCCGAAGATGAACAGATGAGTCGACTCCTTGGAGTGGATGACGATCAGGCAAAGTGCTCAGCAGATTGTTCGTAGCTAATTATTTTCAGTGCCACGCAGTTTTGCACCGTGTTCTTTTCTACCTCAAAGAACATGAAGATTCGCGAACGGGTTTGTTGGAAGCAACGCAACATCATGTCTTCGAAGTTGGCAAAGATGCTTTCGAAAGGCAGCTGCCCGTCTAAGCTTTGAAGCGGTGGCAAAGGCGCCTCCCTTCCCACCGGGCTTAGCAGCGGAGCGTGAAGAGGCGCCAAAAATGTGACAATGTTTTCAACGTACAGTTTGCCTGACGTTTGATGCATATTGATTCATACGCTCCAAGAACATCATCACAGTCCGTGTTGGAACTATACTTTTTAAACCAGTTATGATTCATCATGCTTCACACTCAAGTTCTCTTGATTCTGCTCTTGACATTTCCCAGTCCACATATTGTCTCGCATCTCCAGCCCCCTGCTGCAAGTTTGATCATACTTTTGTTCCTGGTTGTGGACCCCAAATCAGCTCATCCTGCATGACGGCCTTTTGCACATGTTCAACTGATGTTCAAGGGTGTCTCATGCCGTTTGAGGAGATGCAGAGACAAAAGTTGAGCTGGCAATTGCAGCATGTGACGCCCCTCAGTGCGACCGGACTCAGTGGCTGTTGCTCAACAGATTCATTGTCTTCAGTGCATTCAGAGATCATAGAGGATTTGTTTTGTATCTTTGAACAAATGAAACGCCGAAAGCTAACAAGCGCATCGCAAACGACTGACCTTTGCAACAAATCATTGCAACAACCTTAGGACAAGAGCAATTTCAGAGTGTTGAGCTACAACATGCTGGCAGATGCCTACAGGCAGCCCACATTTACCAAGCTTGCACGCTGATTTAGTCCGAGCTTAGGAGCTTCTGAGCTTCAATTTGCAAGAAGCCCTCCAACATGCAGTTTTTAAATGCCAAAACTGAAGCTTAACCAAAGCGACGCGTAGGCATTGTTGGGACTACATATTTCCCTATTGCGATCCCGAGACATTGCTACCAGAAAGGAGGCAGCGGGCACAAGCTGCACGTCGTCTTGTCAAGTGAGTTTTCCAAAAATCATCTAGCAAAATATTGTATCCACGTGTCACATGCAGTTTTTTTAGCAGTTTTCGTAGACTTTAATATGCCTTCACCCCTGTGCCTCAGGCTTCAACTTTGTCGACAGGAAGTCTCGGACTCAAACCTAAATGCCTCGCTTCGTGGCTGACCAAGTTTGCGGCATGTTAAAAGGGATCTCTTACTTTTTACGCCGCAAAGTGACAGCCAGCCGAGTGATCGTACAGGTTTGCACCTTCAATGCTGACATCATGGCTCTGCAGGAAGTCGATGCATTTTGGTATAAGGACGGAATGTGACTCTTTGTCACCATAAATCGTGCTTGTCCTTTGCTTCTGCAAAACACCTACGTAGTATTGTGGTTTCCTTTCTCTCTCTAGAACAGAAACAGTCTCCCGGCCCTGGCATGGCTGTTGCCGCAGCCTCTTTTTGTGCTCATTTTCCCGCCGTTCTCGGCGCTGCAGCACGGCCAGAAAATATCAACATTAACTACAATGACTGGGCAGTCACACCCAGCAGCAACCTGATTGATGCCCAGCAATAATTGCACATCCTCTTCGGTTGGCTGAGACAACTTGCAATGAGTTGCTCCTGGTTATGTTGTGAAGAAAAAGTGGATGGAAAAAGGTAGTTTCGAATATCACTTAGAACTTAGAATTATTTGGAATTTGTTTGTTCACTTCCACTATACACACAATATGATGACAGATGAGAGGGGGCTTTGCTTGAAGCAAAACACTTAATAACTGATGTCCCCTTTCACCTCCCCAATCATGAACCGATTATTGCCTTTGGAGTCAAAAGCTTCGGCCAAGCGTGACAGACTTTCACATCATGCGGTGACGCCATGCACGGGCGGCGGCAAAGAAGCCATAGTAGCAGCCTCAGATGTTTGTCCAGTAACAACTCGGGGAGTCCTTCACATCGACGAAGCATGATTTGATTCCCGGTTCGCTGCGTGTCGGGAGGATAATGAATTTGAGCGCTCAGCTGACCGTATCACTATAATAAGTTGGGTGTGCTCAATCCTTTTGTTGTGTTGGTGTCCAACTGGGTCACCCACAACTCTTCTCACAAATGCTTCAAATTCATGTAGGACACCAAATCCAGCGATTGTAAAAGGGGCCTTGTAGATCTTGTAGGAAGTACACTTGTTTTACATCAACCATCAGGACATATCAGGACCATGCGTCAACATCGGACTTTTGCTCCACCCCAGTTGATGGATTTCCAACCTTCGTGAGGAACAGGAAGGAAAGTTATGTGATGTCCAGAATGAATTCCGAAGGTCTGAACACAGGGCTGGCACGCTGACTTTGTTCCTAGTAGCGTCCTTGCTCCTAATAGCGATGCCAGGAGCCCCTAGTAGCGTTCATGCTCCTTAAGGAAAGGTGTTGGTTATTTGCTGATGTCCATACCTTTTGCTCCTTCAGGCTTTGACGAGGATCAGGATGGCGAGTGGTGGCCACCGCCTTTGACGGAGCAAGATGTGGCGACGCGCCAGCGTGCCACACGGCTCTTGCAGGTTGGAAGTGCACACAAAAGGACATGGAATTAATGATAATTAATGCCATGCTGACATACCTCCACATTAGCATTCCAACATATCTTTCCGGTAACGCAATTCCTGGGAGGCGATCCGGCAAATACCACTGGTATACTATGACATCAAGGCATGGGAAAACCAGCATGAGAATGTCTTCTCGCTCTTTCGACAAGGCAGGAGGGCAAGTGTCACGATTGCACCACTGCATGTATCGTGATCTCTTCTCACACTATATTCACACATATTCACACGATCCAATTGTATCCACCTTGAGCACTCAGCGTTTGCAATTTTCAGGATGTTTGGATGCTGCGAACTCCAACATCCTCGAAGCACCTTTATACAACAATCGGCAAATTGAGGATGCCTGGCTCTTCTTGTTGGAGATGAGACGAAGGCACAAGAATCGAGGGAAACACGTGCAAGAATGCGCTCGTGTTCTTGGTGCTTCCTACAACTGGTCCATTGTGCTTCAGGGTTCCAAGAAAGTCCTGGAGGCATTGAATGACTTGCCCCAGGAGGTTTGCACAGAGATTTTGGAAGGTGCAGATGCGCATGAGCTGCTCCGAAGTATCTACCCGCAGCGACGTCCAAGACGCGATGATTGGATGAACACACCCAGCAGTTTGCCTGCGAATGGCTGGAGTGACTCAGACCCAAGCTGGATGGGGAAGGACACACCCAACGGCGCTGGTACTCGTGATGCATGGCCAGATGCAGCGTGGCCGGATGCGGGCCGTACAAAAAACCCCTTCAAAGCAGAAGGGGTGGCGACAGAATGGCCAGATCCACCGGCTCAAGTTCCACAAACGCCAGGCTGGGGGGAGGGCAAGGTTGGTGAGTACTGCAAATTAGCTATATACATGGTATGATTCTGACGAGAAACGAACTCAAGTGGAATTGTTGTTCATACATTCATAATACTATTTTGACCGAAACCTTTGCAGTAGTGTTACAATTTCCATAGCGCTTTGGGCTACAGTATCCTCGTCCTCAAACCAGCCTAGGTCAGCGAGACGTCTTCCCTGGTCCGACTGGTGGGAGCTTTGCCTCTGTTTCTTGGCTTTTTGTCTTTCTCCTCTTCGTACGAGTATATCTGCAGATTTATCCACCAACAGGACCAGTGAGCCACCAGACATACTGTCGCAGGACGAAATCCCGTACCACCTGCGATGGGTGGACAAAGAATTGACGGTGTGCTGCGAGTCTTAGTCTTTTTTTGGGCCCGATGACCTCCAACCTAATAGCGATGGCCTCCAACCTATATAATAGTCTTAAAGTAGGTCGGTTTAGAATTCCTCCAACAGTAGTTACAGACAAAATGATTACACAGTGGCCGACGCGATCCTTCTGGGGGTGTGCCTTCCTCCACACAGTACTGGGCAACTCTGACTTGGTGGACCGACTGCAATTGCTGTCACCAAGGCAGCGGCCATTCCTGACGCTTGCCGAAAACACTTGAATATCTATTATTGTTACTAACTTAATCTAACTTAAAACCATTGTTTGTTCTACACACTTCTCTCAAGGACAGGCAGTTTCTCAGTCGCAGGGATGTTTGCCAGCTCGTGTATATACAAGAAGCTGCAGCGATTTAGAGCCAAGGAGAAGTCAGCTTTTGGGAGGCACCGGCTCACGGCATGTTGTGATGTCGTTTGGAGGGAGGCACAGCTAGGCAGCCAAGTTAGTGCAGGTTTCAGGTTCCACATGATGTTGAGTGCTAGACCATGGCTGTTGTTGTTTTCTGCTGCTTCGTTCAACCATGTTTTGGGTTCCTGTAGCCAGCCATTGCTGGAAATATACTCAGAATCCTAGGTTGTGACTTGTTCGGAGAGAATGTCAATTGAAGTTCAAGGAACATACATTTTAGATCAGAGTAGATATCGAGTTATTCGAGTTTGTTTGCTGATCTGGAGTGCCAGGCCAGATACCAACCCCTTTCGCAAGGAGGCCTCGCCGAAGAGCGGCAATCCTTTCAACGCACTGCGCCTAGTAGTTTCGTGCTGTCTTTGTGACATGTGCGGCATGTTTCGTGCAGTTTTACAGCTTTTTCAACAGCTCCCTAAAGGAACCCTGCTTCACCGAAAGGTGGGCCAATACGGTAATCAAAGTACCGTTTGTTTTCGTTGATTTCAAGCACCAGCCTTCATTTTCTTCCGCCCATGTCAACGACCTCGAGGACCCAAACACAGCTAGCCACGCACCTCCCAAGTGTTGTGAACAAAGTCTGGCAGTTCTTGGCTTAGCCGTGTGCCATAGCGCAAGTAGAATCGGATGATCAGTCTGAATATCCCACTCTCCACTCGTGGTCAGTCACAGAGTGCCAAGTTCCCCTGCAATGACTGTCTCGAAGCCAAAGCCCGCATAATTAACTCTAGCGGGGTACACACACACAGCAGGAGTGTTTTTTTTTTAGTTTGACGGGGTCACCGGGTCTCGTCGGTGGAAGCGTTTTACTTTCGGCCACGCGTCCGATCCGAGCTGATCTTGCCCTTTGTTCCTACTAGCTTCTTGTTACTAGTAGCGATGCCAGGAGCCCCTAGTAGCGTCCTTGCTCCTAGTAGCGATGCCCTTTGCTCCTAGTAGCGTCCTTGTTTGTCGTTTGGTTTTCCCATTTTGTGTGATTTTATTGGATTTCGCCGACTCGCCTGTGTTACTCCTCCGTTTGATCCTGCATGGTTGTTTCTTGGGGCTACTTGGACTTGGACTGTTCATATTTGCACGCGCTTCTGGACTTCATTTTGGGATGTGCCCCTGCATCCACGCCGTGGCCGCTCCAACTCCTGCCTGTTCGTTGCTCCTACGAACTTGGATGTTTATCATGGACTTCGCACGAAAGAGTGGGGTCTTCGAGCTTCCAAGAAATTGTTTGATAGCTTGCATCGCTGGGCTAGTTGGGCAGGAAGTTACCGGCATCAAGCAACCATGCGCCTCAAAGCGGGGTTCCCCATTATGTAGTTACAGAGAATACGACTATATAGTAGCCGACGCAATCCTTCTAGGTTTTTCCTTCCTGCACACAGTACTGGGCAACTCTGACTTGGTGCACCGATTGCAATCGCTGTCACCAAGGCAGCGGCCATTCCTGATGCTTGCCTTGAACGACTTGAAATATCTTGAAATGTACTTTGTTACTAACCTAAACCATTGTGTTTTTTTTTTTGTGGTTTCCACACACTCCTCTCAAGGGCAGGCTGCTCCTCAGTCGCAGGGATGTTTGCCAGCTCGTGTATATACAAGAAGCTGCAGCGATTTAGAGCCAAGGAGAAGTCAGCTTTTGGGAGGCACCAGCTCACGGCATGTTGTGATGTCGTTTGGAGGGAGGCACAGCTAGGCAGCCAAGTTAGTGCAGGTTTCAGGTTCCACATGATGTTGAGTGCTAGACCATGGCTGTTGTTGTTTTCTGCTGCTTCGTTCAACCATGTTTTGGGTTCCTGTAGCCAGCCATTGCTGGAAAGATACTCAGAATCCTAGGAATCCTAGGTCCTACAGTAGGTTGTGACTTTTTTGGAGAGAATGTCAATTGAAGTTCAAGGAACATAAATTTTAGATTCAGAATAGTTATTCGAGTTTGTTTGCTGATCTGGAGTGCCAGGCCAGATACCAACCCCTTTCGGAAGGAGGTTGCGCCGAAGAGCGGCAATCCTTTCCACGCACAGCGGATTCCAGCGGGCGTGTGAAAAATGGTTCGCAGAACATGCCTTTGCTGCGTCAAACCTAGATTTTGCATGCCCAGTATGTAACCATATCAATAAGCTTTACAGTAGTATTTAGGCAAGTGCTGCAAGACTTGCCAGGCACACTTGAATTGGGACTGCTGCTTGTTTAGGACTACTGGCAGCCACAGTTTGCTGTGGACGGGTATGGCTGTTGCTTTACAAAGAAGGCCAGGCTTTACGGCTGGCACCTTTTTGACTGTCCGAGTTGTCGATGAACATGGGATCAACATCAACATCAGAGATCACCTAACCTAGAGTTTATGGATCACCTTGTTCACTTATATTATAGCAATGGCCTCCAACCTTAGTAGCAATGGCTTCCAACCTAATAGCAATGGCCTCCAACCTAAAAGCGATGGCCTCCAACCTAATACTCGTAGCGATGGCCTCCAACCTAATAGCAATAGCCTCCAACCAAATCGCAATGGCCTCCAACATAGGATAGAGATCACCCTGTTCACTGTTCTTTGATTAACGTTTGGTCACCTTGTGCCGGTCAGTGGATGTCGCTGGTCAGTTTGCCACTTGTGCCCTCAAGGCATCTGGCTCTGGCGAGGGCTGCTTGCTTGCGTACAAAGAGAAGGCAGACCGGGCAGATTGCAGATACACGAGCTCGGTCTTTGGTGAAAGAATCATGCTTGCACAGATGCACGCAGATCAAAACTACTCAAGGCCGGTGGTAAGTGCATTTTCCTGCTTGTCCGTAATGGAGTCACATAATACATGGCATTCCACCAGTGTGACCACTGTTTTCAGATGTTCTCAGCTGGTGTTGGACAGACTCGTGGGCACTTGAAGGATGCTTTGTACTGCGAACGAAGTCATCAGGCCTTTGAGCTTTTGGACCTTGTGGAGCTTCCTCTCCGTGAGCGACCCAGGTGCGGTATGGTGGACATGATAAGCATGTTCAGGATGTACTTCAGGGTGTTTCGAGTAGGCTCGATCTCGCTGTGAAGTCAGCAGTGATTCACACTGCTCGTAAGACACTGCATGGAAGCTTCAGCCTTGGGCCAGGAGTGGAGTCGTCCAAGTGGCAGCCCGTGATGAGGCAGAAAAGACCATGCAGCAGTCACGTTTGAGACCTGCAAGCCATTTGAGCAAATCACAAGCACTGGGCATGTAGCTTGCACTTGAATCACATTTGCCTAGTTTCAATCGCCCGATTGTGCAAATGGCCCAGGCCGTCAGATTGTCCTCCGCCGACCTGGCTGTCGGCGCTTTGCTTGGGCGTCTTCCGGCAAGGAGCCAAGCCAGAACGGCTGAAAGCCAAGAAATTGCAGGTCTGAAGGACCTTTGGTTGCTCGGGCATTTTTTGTGCCGCATTAGACTGTGAAAGGTAATGCAGGGTACCCTGCAGTCAGTGCAAGACAATACGTAAATCTTGTTGATTTTGTAAGAACCCACTGGGAGACCGAATCCGACGATCTGATCTGCAGCTGGTTTCAGAACAGTCTCATGTCATGTTCAAACTTGTCAAATTGTTTGGAGCATGGTAGACCCTGGTAGACCAAGGCGCTGGAAGACGTTTTCCCAAGGAGCAACCCTTAGAGAGTTAGTTATACATACATTTATTTGTGTACATAATATTTACTGTTTGACCGTTTGGTCGGGCCTTGCGTGGACGTTCTCTCTATGATCTCAACTCACTCTATCTCACATCGCAGTTTGACTTGTGTTTGGGCCTTTCCTTTTGCTCCATAGAGAATGCACAAGGATGGTTTTGCGTAGTGCATTTGAGCCTTTGTATGTTCGAGGCTAGGCACTGTTGCCCAGCTGGCTCTCTTGAAGAGCAAGGCCAATTCTGTTCATTTCGTGTTTGCTGTGAAGTAGGGAAACTGGCGAAGAACGCCTCAGCCGCTGAGCATGAAACCCTCAGATCCGCACGGCCAGTAGATAGCTCACTGCTCAATCAGGAGCCCGACGGGCGTCTCCTTCTGGTTTGCAATACCCACTTGTACTTTGCCAACTTCGCAAGGCACCGTGAAAAAAGCTTCTTCAAAACGAGATCGATGAATCATGTAGGCTATTACAGGGCATCTTCTGTTGGTTGAGTTCATTCGGTCGGGTTTTTGAAACCGTCTTGTTGCTGAGGCATATCCGAGTTCTACAGGTGGCTCTGATCCTTGATGAGGTACCAGAGATGGTCCAAATCTGGCATGGAAACACATGGTTTAGAGATGGCACAAACATCCAAATCATTGGATACTGTACCTGCAAGGCGGAGTCTATATGCAAGAGAGCAGAGTTTGAGTGGAAAGCTCAGTCTTTCGCCAAAGAGTAGCAAGTGATCGAGAGATGTTCAGCAATAATATATTATATGTTCATGAGACAGTTTTGCACAACGGAAAGAACTTCCGCTTGTAGGTTTGGCCAGCGGCCGGCACTACTCTTCCTGGGTGACCTGAATAGTGAGTCTGCAGCTTCACAGACCATGGATTCAGAACACACCAGTTCAGTAGTTGACAGAAGGCTTCTTCTGAAGTCATGCCTGCTGAGACAAGGCCGGACACTGGCGCAACTGCACTCCTGCAAGGCGGTGTTCTTTGCCCTTCTTGTTTGTTGCAAAACACCGCATTGTGGAATTGCAGATCAGTTAGAGAAGCGTTATGGTCAGTCTGCCACAAACTGCAGAGCAGAAGTTACCATAATCGGTTTTCTACCTTTGAGAGACAGTGTGTGTGTGTGTGTGTGCAAGTATACAATTATCAGCTAAAGCCTTGTCTGTCCGCCCAACAGATGACAGGCAGCGTTTCCGCTGCGCACCCAGACTGGGCCAGGTGTGCCCCATTCCGCTGGCGGCTCGGAAGCTTCCGCTGGCAGTTTGAAGTCTCAATGCGTCAAATTAACAAAATGTTAACAGCTGGCATTAAGATGGGGAAGAACATAGAAGAACCTACAGTAGTTAGTCATTGCAAAAACCCTGTTCGAGCCAAGCTATGGATTCGTTTGAGCACATGTTTGACAGCAAAGCCTGGATCTCAGGTTGGGGCTACGCATCGTCCAGACAAGCAGCAAAAGACATGCTCACCGCTTTGAGAACCAAGAGGTGCTCGAGTTGTTGAACATTGCTCCCACATTGAAGACCACAACCATTCGGTTTCTCCATCCGGCTGCGAACAAAGCCACGTCCGTGGGTGAGGTGGGTTGCTGGCCCTGGCCGACAGATTGGAAGTGGTGCCCCTTTCCCAAATCAGAAAATGGGTTATTTGATGTGTTTGTGTTAGTATTACATGTCCTTTGCCTATGGGGCAATGTAAGCCTTTGCCAATTGTTTGTACATTCCTCATTTGTCAACGATCTGATGTGGTTATATAGATCCATTAATATAATTATCACGAGGTTCCACGCAAGGCCAGAAGAAGCTTCTACTGTAGGGCCTAAGGAGCAACTGCCAGGCCAGAAGCCTATTCTTCTCTTGGCGATGAGACGGAAGAGGCAATCAGCGAAATCATGCGAAATCTGTTGAGGCGAATGAGTCCCGAATAGATGACCTTAGATTTCACCAGGATGGCCTTGACGGTCTCCGCTGCAGTACAGAACGGCTGCAACGTGTGCGTTGCTTGGATGTGTTTAGGAGCAGATTTGGTGCACTGGAAGCCTTTGCATACCTGGAACCATTTGCATACCTGGAACCATTCGGGGCTTGTTGCTTGAAGTATGAGGAAGCTGCGTGTTGTAGGTCTATGGCTTTGCAATTTTCGAGTTGTGACTTGTGACCAGTTCAAGGTAATTGTTTGGCAACTTTGGGTATCGGTGAGCCGCAGGAGGCCTATGCCGTGCCACTTAGAATAGGTTGTTTCATAGCTTCTTGGAAAGAGTTTGATTGCTTGCAGCATTGAGTTTACACGCCACTGCTGCTAACTTAGAATATTGCTTGGCTGTCAGGCTGAAGAGGAAGCACCAGAGGAGCAGTACGATCAGGCAGATTCTGTGGGTTCAACAAAATGGAGCTTGAAGCTCTTGCAAGCTTTTGCACGGTTTGTTGGATGCTTGACATGTGTCTTGCGTAGACTTGCGATATGTGCAATATGTTGCGAGTGTGCCAATTGTCATCTTGAAACTGTTTGAAACTCGAAACCAAGCAAAAAGAGTTTCAATGAAACACCAAGGTGCTCGGATCAAGTACTGACAACTCACCGTGGCCTGGTGCTTGGGTCAATTCATGGCCACCAGACATCTCTGCGTTTTTGCATGGCACACGGGACGGTGCTCCAAGGACATCGTTGGAGCAAAAGCTTCAGGCTGGCGGGACCTTCAAGAACTGCGAAGCTTGGCAGAACAGGACATAGTTGGAACACTTCAACAGTTCTTCAACCTCCTTTCTGTGAGATGTTGTGAGATGCTGTGCGCATGGCTCCAGCGACACAACAAGACTTTGAAACCTCGGCTGCTTCATGCTGCGCCGAAGGGCTTGATTTTTTGGGAAGACAAGACATGCGAAATGTGTTTGATTGTTGCGCGCTGAAGCGGGGGGCTGAACGCTGAACACAATTTAAGGCCGCTGTCGCCACTGCACAACTGGCAGTAGACCTACAGCTCAGCACTGAACCTGTGCCCTTAAATTCAGTGTGATTCAAAAGACCACTGACAAGACGGCCATAAGAACCCTTCAAGACGAAAAGCCGCGTACGCAGTTCAAAAGAAGTGTGTCAATTTTAGTGCCCAAAGCAAGCTGCTTACATGCCACATGTATAATCATGTATATTGTTGTGAGAGAGAGAGAGAGAGAGAACTCTCTTGTAACTGTATGCTTTTGATTGCTTTTGTCCTGTCTCTTTATGTCATTTTCAGGTACTTGAGTTTACCGATGAAGACTTGGACGCTGCCAGCGACTTGGGTGACTTTGCGGGATCTTTGCTTGTGCCGGATGTTCTGAGGCCAAAGATGCAGCAGAGGCTTTGGCAGAGGCAAGGAAGCAGGGTTTGAGCTCCAATTGATTAACATGTAACATATAGATCAAGTGATGCAGTCAGAAAGGCTCATATATTTGTCACTTGGTAGCAAGCCTGAGGTGGTCGGGCAGAAGATGCAAGCTGCGGTGAAGAAACAGCAAGTGACTTGTTGGCAGATTCGGGGATGCAGTCTCAGCTGAGTTGCCAACGGCAATTCCTTTCAGCCTCAAGTTTGGTCTCAACACCTGACCTGTATTGAGGCTGTGGCAGAGATGGTGCTAGAAGAGAGCGATGTTGGACCTGCTTTGGCAGGCCTTTTGACGGGTGTTCGAGGCTTGGAAGAACAGAGTAAGCATGCAGCTTTGATTGCAGCCAGGCTTGGGCTTGCAGCTTTCTTCTCCTTTCAAGCTGTCTTCTGCTTGTCAGCCGGACTTTACAAACTTTGTGGGTTCCGGCCCCAGAGAGTGTCCTGATGTGTCCGGACAGTTCCTAGTCTTTCAGAAATATCTTGAGATGTGCAAATCTGATGTAGGACCGATATTATGATATAAGTGTGTGTCTTTTTTAATCATAATACGCATTGTCATGCCAGGTAACTACGAAGCTTGTCTTGCCATTGTCTTAGCTGCCATTTGAAAATTGGACTTGACACATTAAGATTGAACTTGTTAGATATTCATGTTAACTCGTGGGAGCTTGCAGCTAAGCACCAAGGATTGGATTTTCTTCACCGAGGAGCACTTGGAGAAGGCGTGTTTCAGTAGTTTGAAAGTACCGAGGAACATCCCAAGAGATCCGTTTCTCGAAGCATAAGAGTTTGTTCAATTATTGTTTTCTCGGACCTTTTTGGCTGCAGCTTCAGTCGGATGTACAAAGTAGCTGTCTTTGTTTCCTTTGAGTCTTGACGGCCAGATTTCACATAATTCTGCTACTTGGGGGAGTCTTAGCCTCACGGAGCACTTGAAAAGGAGACTAGGCTACTGATACGCACCGCAGAAGTTCCCATATACGTGTATCAACACAGTCCTTATGCCATCATGAAGTAGAGTAAACATGGAGAATTAGGGACATCTCGGAACGACCGCCTGCTAGACTTATTTCCTAATTTGTTTTCTCCAAAAAATGGCTGTTTGATGCCTCCAAATCTGTTTTCTCTTTGTTTGGTTTTCTCTCGGCCACTCTTTTCTCCACTCGATGTCTCTCGGCCGCGCTCGCAGGTCTCCGAAGCGCCCATGCCCAGCCGGGAGGCCGTGGCCGCTGAGACGGCCCTGCCCTCGCAGCGCTTCCCCAGCGACGCAAAGCGGCAGAGTGAGCTTTCGTGTTTTTGTTTTTTCATTTTTCCACTTGGTTTAGTAAGCCCACCCTGGCTGAATCAAGTAGGTGCCTACTCAAATAAAGTAAGGGCTAAGTATGCTACTAGCTGCTGGACGCAGGATACCTCACGCTTCCACTATTCTTTTCGTTCCTAGATTTGAAAAATGATAAAGAAAGAGGCAGCCGGAGAGTCTAGGACCTAGCTCACAAAGTAAACATTTTTCAGGTCCAGGATTGAAATGAACGGAAAGGGATGAGATCCACAATGAATACGACTTGGGGATTGTTGCGGATACTGTACCCAAGTTGCAATTGGACTTTCTGTTTGACAGAACTTTTGGGTCCTCCATTTCATAAGATGAGCATGATGCTTCATCAGCTTTGGCTTTTGCTGATAGAATCAAGCTTCGTCTGCTTTTATAATGCAGTTTTTTTGTGGAGAGGTGTGTTTGCCCTTGCTTAGCAACTGAACTGTTTGTTTCTTTCCCATGAAGCAACGCTTAGGACCACATCTTGCTGGCCACTGATTTTGCTTGGAGAAAAAAGTTGAGCTTGTGTTTGGTCTTGGGCATCGATTGCATCGAAGCATGTTTTTCCAAAGTGCTTTTGTTTCTAGTAGTAATGGGTATATATAAGTCCAAGACTTGAGAAAGGTTCTATCAGGAACCCTGAGATCTGAAGCCATTCGCAGGTGGTTGACGCACCCATTGGCCGTGATCCTCATTCGTGAGGGGCCAAAATGCTCAACCAATGCATCGGAGTTGAAGGGAATTCTTCCGGAGTCATTTGGTCTGAGGGATGACCCTGTGCGCCGTGCAGTGAACCCAGATGGCCAAAGCGCAGCCACACGCTTTGAGGCCTGTTTGACCTGTTACATGCTGAAGTCTCTTTGGAGTCTATCAGTGAGAGCACCACAAAATGGAGTAACGAGGGCCGGAGAAGACCTCACAACATATGTCAAGTGATTCATGGGCAAGTTATGAAGTTCATGAGCTGATGAATGCTCTAGGTGCTGGCAGGTGCAAATGGTGCATTGCTTCTGGTGACACCGTCTTGTTGCATGGGTTTCTAGTTAGGTACTCGCCACGCGGACTTGCAAGGAACAGATCAATCCAGAACAAGGATCAATAAGACAGGTCCTTTTGAATTGTGCTTCTCAGCAGAGCAGCTTTGGCTTTGTCATAGTAGCTAGCAAACGACGCGATTGCACACACTCAGCGGATCTCAGAAGTGCAATTGTTGAGTCCTAAATACAGCAGTCGAAGCATTGCCCAAGAACTAGTGACTCCAGGCGTGCATCTTGGAGAGGTCCGGGCGAACACATCAGGTGATGCCCCCCCCATTGGAGTGAAGCATAGTGAAGCCGTTCGAACGCATTGTGCATTGAGACCGGAGTGAAGACTCAACGTCGCAAGCTTTGACATGGCATTGACATCGAGTCTGGCAGGTTGGCATTGATTTTGGTATCTCTAAAAATGCAGCTCTATGAGCCGCTAATGTCACATTAATTATGTAATCAGATTGCAGCATAGAAGCTTTCAAGCCCATTGGATTGCTGCATTCATCATCCCGTGCCGCTGATCACTTTCCTTGCTGCCAGAATGTGGGAGCCTCAGGAATTTTGGTTCAGGGGCTCTTAGGTACATGGCCTTTGCAACAATGGATTTGCGGGTGGTGTTTGCTGGCCTCAAGATTGGCCTCTGCAAACGATGGCCTCTGCGTTCTTGGCGTAAACGTGTCGCCAAGGCGACCTTGGCCCACACCAAGGCTTCACCGACACCGAGGCGTCGGCCAGGGCTCGACTTTGATTTCTCGTTGCCACACACAGTCACTCATTCAGTCTCAAAGAGTGATTTATGTGGACCGCAGTATTTTTGCTGTTCAAAGTGCACAAATGCATCATGGACCAGCGCAGGGACGCGGTGGAACATGGCATCATGGCTTGTGACATGTAGCATTGTATTGACCGTGATCCTGAGCACTTTGATAGTTGGCGCAGCTGTCACATGCGTGGTGCGGAAAATCTGGAAATCCGGCAACCTGGTTTTGGTCATACCAGAGCTAGTGCCAGAGTTGGACCAACCAAAAGCAACTTGGCCGCCACCAGTGCAAACACCGGTCATATGGGCACCACCAATTCCACCAGCTTTGCCAGAGTCACCGCTGTCACCGCCACTCTATACTCTTTGTACACCGATTTTCTGTCCAGGTGACCCAGAGCCACCGATTCAGCGTCCATGTGGCCCTTTCAACCATTTGCCGGGCCGGCGTTCTCCCAGCAGGTTGGGGCGCCTCTCTCTTTCAGCACCAGACTTGTGTCAAGTACAACCGAAGCTTGGAATGCCAATACGACCAATTGATACCCTGCAACCAGAGCTCTTCTTGCCTTGTCTTCCTCGGTGCATCATCCTGCCAGTGCCAGCAGTCCGACCAGTAGAACCAGCACGACCACTGCTGCAACCACACCAGCCTGCAGAAACACAGTCAGCCACAATCCTCCCACCATCATCATCGTCGAGGGAACGAACGCCAACGGTGCCACTGACAGGACTTCCTCCGAGGGACTCCGGGCGGCAGCAGCACTTCAGACATGCAGGACAGAGACAGCCACACATGCTGTTTGCGTTGCCTCACTTGGTGCCCAATATTCCGACAAGTGCACGCGTTGTGATACCACAGCTTGCCTGGGTGTATCGCAATCCGGGTGTCCCACGCGTTGGCAGACCAACTCTCCAGTTGCAAGGGCCAGATTCACCAGTGACACAGAGAGCTCCAGGACTGCTCAGAGAAACAGAGAGAGCTCCAGTTTTGCCGCGGCCATCTCCAAACCCACCACAAGGGGGACTCTACCAGCCACAACTGCGACTACTACCGCAGGATCCGCTTCCACAAGATTTAGCTCCAAGGCGAGAGGCATGTACCCTGCATTTCCAACCTATTCCTGAAGCTATTCCTGAACCTCCCATGACAGTTGTCATACTCCCACCACCAGACACACTGCAACCATACATACCCTGCGAACCACCCCCATGCCACCCACGATCTCCAAGGTGTTTGCCAGAGTGGTCGTTACCACAACTTCAAGCACCCATGTGGCCAATGTCACCAACGCCACTCCAGCCTGCAGCCACGGAGAGAGCGCCAAGATTGCCAGACAGAGCCAAGGTTGCCATTCCAAAGATTATGTTTCGACCAAAGTTGCCGAACACGACTTGGCTCGACATGCCGCGGCTCCCCAAGACGTGCCAGAGTACCTGCCAGTGCCCGACGTCCCCTGTCAACCGTAGACAGATGTCAGCTTTAGGAGGTTCTTCATTGCGAAAGGGAAAGCCAAAGCGAAACAGAAGGGTACCTCGCCAGGGACCGGTGACAGCTCAGGACAGTTCAGACTCACGGACCGGTTCTGAGCTGACCGGTGGTCCCTGGATTCCCTGAGCGACCGGGCGAGTCCCAAACGGTTCGTGCCGTTGCAGTGCCGTAGATTCCAGAAGGCTTTGCGAAGAGAGATAGATCAGATAGATGATAGGAAGGTAACGGAAGTTATGAGCAGATTCAAAGCAATCAATCTTCCGAGTTGCCTTTTGCCAACTGCGCTGACCACATATTATATACAGTATTACTAATTACGGTTTAGATGGCACAGTTTCTTGGTTTCATTGATACCTTTACTTGCCATGTCATCTCAGTTTCGAGCAAATGGTAGCGGCCATTGCCGCAAGGACTTGTTGCATCCCCAAATGGAGATGTAGGACATGTACATTGCCCATGCGTCAAGACGGCGCAGAGAGCTCGATAAGACGCGAGCGGAGAAGCAAACGATCGTAAAAGTCAGTTGGTCAAGTTTGATGTTTGTTGCAGGTGGCAACGGAAATCCAGGTTCAGCAGATTCATGTTTGCTGGAGGTTCAAGGCGTAGCTGAGGATCTTGGCATGTGTTACCTCTCCTACATGGTTTGTCTTCTCTACACCCTCCTTATCTCTCCTTCTTCTTTTTGTTCGAGTCTTTAGAGCTGGACAACGGTGACATTGGCTTTTGTTGGCGATCTCACTTATCCTGTGAAGCAGAGAACTTGTCGTGCCATGTTGTACTATTCTAGAGTCAGAGTGTAGAGTCTTGTGTAGAGACAATTTCAGAGCTGCAATGCAGTTGCATCGTGGCCTGGAGGGAACCTGCTGATACGACCTTCTTCACAGCAATAGGAGTTTTGCAAGCTGCAGGAGATGGCAAGAGGCTCAGGCTTGCGAGTTGTTCTACAGTTACTGTAATATGACAGATGACATAATCTGTTTGTGGGTGGGTTTCATTTTAGGAGGGCGAATCTTCTTCTCAATTCGCCAACTGCCCTTTGTATGACTTTGAAGTTTGTTGAGTCTTACTCATGCTAGCCATTCAAGACAAACCATCAGTTACTTCTTGGGAGGCTCGCAAATCAACCCAAACCAAACCAGTGTTGGTGAAGCCTGGACAGTTTGCCATGGTTTCAAGAATTCCCTCGGACGTAGAACCCCCCTCCACGAAAACCAAGCGGCTTAGACCATATTTGGGTCACAACATGCCACTACATGTTTGCGAATAAAAGATACGGTGCGGAAAGATGTCAAGAGCTTTTGACACTGATGAAATCAATGTCACCGGAAAGTGTACTGCTGGATGTTAGCTGGTTCACAAGGTTATTTACAAGTACCGCACTCGAGAGAGTGAACCGCATAGGTTGTGGGGCACTTAAAGCCGCTTGCAAGAGTATGAGAATAGCACACAATGTGTTTGCATGACAGACTATAGAAAACATACAGGATGATCAACCATACCACACAACAAGGGAGAACACCCTTAAGATGTTGTGTGAAAGAGTCCGCGAGAGGCGATGCGGTGAGCCTTGTGTATGTTCGACTTAGCACAATCTCGCCATAGAGCATGGACTGGAGGACTTGCACTTCTAGTTACTGTATGCCTGTAGAGAAATACTTGGGGCAGGTGCTTTTTATGGCATTCAATGGAGAAAGGTGTCATTGACCATTGATCTTTTCCAATCCGCCAAAAGAAAATGCATTGACAATGTACAAGCAAACCTCACATGCTCCTGCGCCAAAAGAAAGCTGCTGTCGTGTAAGCGCAGTGAAAGTGCACATGGAAGGCATTTGTTGGTAGATTTTAGTAGAAAACCAGAAAGGAATCTTGCCTAGGTTTTGAAGACCACTCAATTGTACATCGACCCCCACTGGTGTTGAGCAGCACCTCTCGGCATTGTTTTCTCATGGCAAGGCCTTAGGCCATTTGTCCGACAAGTCCAATCATTTTCTTTGTTATCCAGAGAATGCCTGACCGGACCAATGAGCAGGATGCAAAGCATTCCTAACACATTGAATGAACTACTTGAAGACCTCACCATTTGAAACATTGTGAGGCTTGCTCAGGTACGCAAGCACAATAGACTATGGTCCGCCTCAAATTATGAGCAAAAGAAGGTAGCGGTTTGTGGAGACGGCCTCTGGCCTCCAGAGGTCCCCCAAAGTCCCAAGGCAACCAGTCTAAGAACGCCTCAGCAGAGTGAAGAACCAATGTTGGATGAGTCCATGTGAAGAGTCTAAGGTGAAGAGTCTGCCTCTCACTGGATGAGTCGGGCTGCCATGGGAGGTGCGATTCAACGGGCAAATGTTGAAGCGAGGAAACATTTGCCCTTTCGGGAGATCCTAAGAGCAGAGATCTCATCTGGCACATGTTTGAGTTGGAACATTTTGACATGTATGCCTAGCATGTTTGAGAACGCTTTGAGTTCCATTCAGTTCCATTTGAAGATTTTGAAGAGTACAGGGAGGAAGGATTTGTGGGTGGCGATCCTTTCTTCGGAAGATGGGAACTTGAAAGCAGCAGTGTTCATATACACCGCAGTGCTTTCGCGGCTCAACATCAAGGAATGCAGGACCATGTTGGACACACATGTTGATACTCCAGGAGCTCGGGAGAGAGGAGTTGCAAGATGGCCTCGTGGATTGTGACATGCACAATTGTGCTGTCCGTGATCCTGAGCACTCTGGTAGTTGGCACAGCTGTCACATGTGTCGTGCGGAAGATCTGGAAGTCAGGCAACCTGGTCTTCGTCGTGCCTGAGGTGGAGCAACCAAAGGTACATTGGCCGCCTCCACCACCACCTGTGCCACCGACAGTATTGCCGCCACCAGTGCGAGAGACTTTTTTTTTGCCAGCGCCAATTCCACCAGCCATTCCCTTTGAACCAACTTTTTCAGTTTTCCCCCTTGGCAAGCTAGAACGGCGAATTCCCACCCCCCCGGGGCCGTTCAACCGATGGAAGAGCAAAGGTGCTCCAGGCGACAAGCTGCTCCTTTGTCTTCGCGCTCCGAACTTGGCTCAACCACCGAAGAGGAGTGGCAGGCCCATTCGACCAATCCTCATGCCCAAGCTTTTGCCGGCTGTGGTCAAGCTCCCGCCCCGAAGGCGAACCGTGGCCCTGCCAAGAGGAGAACCGTGCCACAAGAGGTGCATTATGAGAGAAACAGAATCACCAGCACAGCTCTCAACACAACGTTCCCCAGCTGGACAAACTGTTGTGCCACTTAGTGGTCCTCGGCCGATTGATACCTATCCACACCGGCCCATCAATCACAAAGGTAGCCGAGAGCCTTGGATTCTGTTTGTGGTACCGCAATTGATGCCAATCATTCCGGCTGCGGTGCATTTACACATCATCTTGCAGCATCCAGCATTGATTTGCAATCCACACGCCTCGCAAATAGGCAGAATAGAGATCCAGCCTGAAGGCCCAGATGAACCTCCTTCGAACACAACCGTTCGATTGCCAGGAAAAACGGAGAGAGCTCCTATTTTGCCACAGCCATCTCCAAATCCAGTCCAGGGATGGTTTTATGAGCCAGAACCACGATTTTTGCCAGCTGAGCCAATTCCCCAAGTTTTCTTGCCCCGCTTGATGGGGAAAGTGCTCATTCTGTCTGAGCCTACACCCCAAGTGGCCATTTGTGTCACTGAAATCACAAGTACAACCTCCACACCCTGGCCCACACCACCGCCGAGGCCTTTGCCATGCTTGCCGGAGTGGTCAATACCCCAACCCATGGCACCAGTTTGGCCCAGATCACCAATGCCAAACCAGCCCATAGAAACAGAGCTAGCTCCAGGACTACCACTACACGACACACCTAGGATCGGATATTCCCAGACTGACGCGAGATTTCTCCCTGCAGAACTATCTCCAAAAGATTTGGTGCAGCACGCATTAGGAAGTACAGTTGTTCTTCCACTAGCTCCTCTTCCAATTCCGACTCCTCCACGGACCGTGACAGTCACTGTCACGCCACCGCCAGACATCTCTTGCATACATTGCATTCACTGTCCGACACCAAGGTATATGGAGTGTTTGCCAGAGTGGTCAATACCCCAACCTGTGGCACCAGTTTGGCCCAGATCACCGATGCCAAGCTATCCACTTTCCACAGAGCCGGCGCCAGCATTGCCACACCGAACAAATTCGCAGATGAGGCACGTACATTGTTCACACCCGAACCCAGATCTGAATTTGTTGTCGGCAGCTCCAGTTGGAAGGTCGTGGCTGCATGCACTGGATGAAGCCTTCATTCTACCAACAGCTCCAATTCCTCCACCTCCCATTCAACCCAAAATCGAGATTGCAGTAGACACCGTCGCACCCACAGGACCACCATGCCCAGGTTTAACCATACCGCCCAGGGCACCAACAGCCCCTGCCATTTGGACTAGGGCACCAACACCCAGCCCAAAGGTCCCAAAGACCTCCCCATTCAACCCATGGGGATCGCCAAAGGGAAAGGCCAAAGCACGGAAGCAGAAGCATCTCTTGCCACCAGGCGATTGCAGCGAATCCAGACATCCCTGGAACTCGTCCACGAAAGTCGTGCCGCCAATGCACAAGTAGTGCCTGGCGAGGTCCTCAAAGCTTTGTCATACCAAGCCATTGGTCAGAGAAGATAGGGAAGAGAGTAGAAGAGTCGCAGGTAGGAGAAGATTTGAACGTACGCGAGATTCAAAGCAATCTCGTGAGCTGCCTTTTGCATGGGACCCGACCAAGTACGTACTGAGTCTTTGAAGTGTTTGTTCATGCCATGTCCAGTCGGAAGCAAAAGGCAACCACTGTCTATAAGGACTTGTTGCATCCCCAAACGGAGATGTAGGATGTGCAGTCGTGTGATGTCATGCGTCAAGATGGCGCGAACTCTTTGAGGAACTAGCCCAGCAGAATGTGATGTGTGCATATCTCATATCACTTTTCAACTGTTTTGTTTCCCATGCTCGCATTATACTGAGTAATGCCATGCAATTCTACTGTACAAGTTTCAGAATGTGGAGCGTGTAGGTGCCAAGAGATTGTGTCCAACTCCTTGTGAAAATACCTTGCGGCCATGTGCTCATGACAATTCGTCGCCCTACTGTGCTACTGACAATCCTGCACAGGTTCGTTCAAATCCTGGAGTCAGGCCGGCATGTCGTATGTCGTGGCTTCATGCTGACCCTAAAACGCATGCAGTTTATGTGGATCAAGGATCCTTTACTACCTAAGGGCCACGGCCACAACAAATGTTCTTGGAGTTTGCTTAAGTGATCTTAAGTGTAATACTTGAACGTTTTTGCGGGATTGAGGCTCATCGGCCTAGGCATGCGTGGGGGTTGAGACGGCAGTGTGGAATGACCAGGGTTTGCCTTGGGTCAGCATCAGTGAAACCCCATGACTAATTATCCTAAAGGTCCTAACATATCCTAAAATCTTCTTTACCCAACCTACCGGCTGAATGGGTGCATTTTTGATGGTAGAGAATAATCCAAGACAACTTGAAGACTTGACTTCAAGATGTACACTACACAGTCGCAAAGCCTCAAAACGAGAAGATTGCACAGTCAGGTGCTTCTGCAGAGGCAAGCAGAGGACTGGGCACAGAGAACGCCCTTTGTGACAAAATCCTCGACCACCTCAGACAGATCCCTGGGACACCCGATACCAATCAAAAACCAAGCTCCCATTGTCAAGAGTCTGTCATGAGACGAACATGTTTGGTGAAGAGCGCCAGGATCACCTTGCTGTGTTTGACCTCAAGCCATTTGTTGGCTAACTCCGGGCGTCTTCTCCCAAGAGCGGCCTGGTGGCTCCCGAAGCCTTACCTTTTCAGAGAAGAGCCATGGAGAGTTGCGGTGTAACGACCGGATGCTGCATATGTACCATTACCCTGATCACCGTCCTGGTGATTCTTGCTTGTTGCGGCATCGGAGTGGTGGTAATACTCCTTCTCAGGTCAAGGGAAACAGTCGTGGTACCATGTCCGCCGCCACCTCCGCCTCCAGTGCCAGTGTGCCCTCCAATTTGCCCTCCACCACAATGTATGCACATTGCCAACCCGTGCATCAGTCACTGTGTTGAACCAGCTCAGGTTTGTGTCCAGCCTCCAGTACATCAAGTTTGTGTCCAGCCTTCAACAAGCCACGTTTATGCCCAGTATCCAGTGGGACACGCTGGACATGCTGCGGTGGTGGGAGCTCCCCAGTGCTCATGTCGACACTGAGCGTATGCAACCCAAACCGAGCTTTGTGCATCCTGCATGGCACTGTGAACGCATGCTGCGCACGTGCTTCAGAAGAGCAAGTTTGGCACAGATATGAAGGCAGGCCAGATGCGAAGGGTTTGTAAAAATGGGAGTTTGACAAACTATGACAAACTGTGTTGTTGTGTGTTTTAGTTTTTTTCATAAACACATATGTTGTTTATATAATTGTTATGATATGATGTATATACTTTAATTACTCTGATTCGCAGCTGCCGTGAGTTGTGCCATGATGTACAGCCCAACCAATTAATGCGCCAGAAACGAAGGGATTGCAGCAGCTGTTGCAGCTTGCATGAAACTGGTATGTTTTTGGTGTGCATTTTTGGGGCTCACTTCTTGCAAAGCATGAAGGTTTGTTGCCCTGCCAATTCCTCGAAGAAGAACCGTGCAGATAGGTGACGCCAGAATAGTGCTGCAGAGCTATTGCAAGAGCTGAACCACTTGGTTTGCCGGAGATCATGGTTTCAGTTTTTTGCTGATCTATGCTTTATGTGATTCGAACGCAGCGAGTGCTGGAGCCCCCTTGTGAAGGTTCATGTACGTTCTCAATTGAGCGGACTAGTGACTGGTGCCTTCCAAGGAGCGCCAGATTCCCTCTCCGCATCCAAGAAGCGTGTTTGTTGATAAAAGACGCCCTGAACTCCTTTACTTTGCCGTTGCGACACCTTGGACTGTATGCAACATGTACGGTGTAAGCCATGTTGCATCATCATTTCATCATTTTTTGCAAATCACGTCAGTCAGTGTCTCTTTCGTCCAAGCAGCGATAGGATCTCTCACGACGTGCATTTTGGTCGAGGCGCAGATTGTCATCTTGCTAGAAGCTAGCACCCCGGTGCGCGGCTAGCAGTGCGGCTAGCAGATTGGGAAGACGAACTTCTTATTTAGTCTGGTAGAGATTGGTCATCTAAGAAGACTGTGGAGCCATTTGGCTCAATGAAGTTGGGAACCTTCGATTCTCTGAGGCTGCGCCCTTGTGGGACACATGTGGGCAGATGGCGCTTTTGAGCACCGACTGGATAATCGTGTTTGGAGTGCTGACTCTTTTCATCGTTGGTGGCACTGTTGCAGTCGTGGCAGGTAGATATTCTCGGGCGCGGAGTGTTGCAAATGTCCCACCAGCCAAAGAAGCATGGCCACATACTCCACCACCAACTCCACCACCAACTCCACCGCCGACTCCACCGCCGACTCCACCGCCACTGGCAATCACACTCTTCCCACCAGTTCCCATGCCAAGTCTTCCGCCACCTGACCTGCCTGAAATACCAGGACCATTCAGTCGTTTGCGCCCAGCTTGTGTCCCCAGCCTGCCAGTTTTGTCCAACCAGTTCCCAAACTTGGCCGAACCGCGCTCATTTTGGGCAGATACGCTTTGCCGCTGGGTTGAGCATACAAGTGCTCCAAAGGAAGCACCAGATGTAGCAGGCATTCAGATGGATTTGCCTCAGAGTCCGGGAGACCTGCTATCTTCTGTAAGATTGAAGGTGTCTCACAGAATGTCCAACTCAATTCAAAGAGTTGTCGCTTTGCCACACCCAGATTTGCTGTTCCCATGTGTCGCAGGTCCTCGACCGCGCCGTTTGCCAGAAACACAAACAGCAGTCTTCCACACGCCACAAACCACAGCAGCACGAGCCAACTTCCCAGCTGGAACGGATCGTTTGATCGATTGCAATGGGCCGATGACGCCGATGAACTCAAGGGGCAGGGTAACTGCTGATCCGGAGCCATTTGCTCATTTCCCGCGCTTGGTTTGCAGAGTCATCAAATGTCAATGGGCTCATCGTGAAGAAAGACCCGGTCCCACAAATGAGTTCAATGCAGATGCACCAAGGGTGGGCAGAAGAGAAGTTAGCTTGGCCGCCCCAGATTCATTTCTCGAATCGCAAGAAAGACGAGTGTTGCCGCGCCAGCCTCCAGATACCATGCAGAATCCCGTTCTCCAGACGTCAGTGCCACCTTTGAACGGGCGATCCTCCGGCGAGGCAGCAGCGTCCCTGGCTGATCGCACTCCAGAAAACCTGATCCGTCGCGCCTCGAAAGGGCCGCGCAAGGCGCCAGTTCAACCACCTCGCCGATCGGATCCGGTTCCTGAGGTTCCAACCCGTGCGAGTCATGTGGAACGGTTGCTCCCACCAGTGGTCATCCCTTCGGTCCCCACCCCGGCCTCTTCGGCGGCACAGGTGCCATCGGTGCGGACCGAGTTGCGACTGTTGAAGCTGGTCTTAGACTTCCATGGCCAGACACCGCAGCTTCCAAAGCAGACCCAAGGAGCGCCCAAGCTTCGAACGCCTCCAGAGAATCCGATGATTGGAATACCGGGATGCACCATATGGCCTCAAGTTCATGGTTTCTCATTTCCGACACCTGGACACAGACTTGGTCACACATTTGCAAGGTGTCGAAGGGCGACCACGTGTTCATTTCCAACATGCGGAGGCCTTACACCTCGAGTGATGGAAGTGCCAGATCCAGTGTCACAGCCAAAACCTGCAGTGAAAGCAAAGACGCCTGACACGCCCAAGCCCAAAATCATACCGAAGAGCCATACCAAGAAAGCCTCCCTTTCCAAGCGTGGGCAGTCGACCTCAACTTTAGGAGGTCCTTGGTGGCAGAAGGGAAAGGTAAAGGCCAAGGCTGACGGCTCACGGCCTGATGAAACATTCTAAGCCCTGAGCGGCAATGACATCAGGCGGTCCGAATAGCAAATCTCAAAACTAGTGGCGTCGCAGAAGTAGGTTCGCAAGAGGTAAAATCCTCAAAAAATTGTCGCAGAGCTAGTACTAGGAACAGGTAGAAGATAGGAATAGATAGGAGATACGGTCAATGAACGATTCAAAGAAATCATCCAAGCATATCCAAGCTGCCTTTTGCTTGGGCCAATTAGGCCAACATAGCTTGTGCTGATTTGGGGTTGAAGCATTTCTTTCAATGGTGTTCACAGCGCCTTTGTTTACTGGGCCTTTTCTCTTGCCTTCCCAAAAGTTGGATGCAAGAGGCAGCTATGACAGTCAAAGAAAACTCCATCTCCAAGAGCAGGTTGTGCGCCAAGAGGGCGCAAAAGAGCTCATCATGAGCCACAAATATTGTGCAAGAATCATCAAGGAACACGCTGAAATAGATTTCTTACTTGATCTTGGGATTTGCGATGCTTGAGGCTTGATGCCAAATATCAAGAGATTGCTTTCCACTGTATTCGACCCTGTATCATGTCACGCAAGCAAACAAGGCCCTGCCACAACACTTCATCACACAGACCAGACAGGGTCCTGGGACGGGTAAACTTGAGAGATCTTTCTTGGAGTATTGTTTGGTTAGAGATTGACAGTTCCTGCATGTCGATGAAGTTTGTGAGCAAGCCCATGGAGAGCTGCTCCAATCCAATCTTGTATGAAGGGCTACACTATTCATACAAATTCATCTGTATATAGCGCCATCCGCAATCGCACCCAGTTGACAATTCAGGGTGTTCTATATCATGGGATCACACTGCACCACAAGACACTGGATGACAGACACAGCACAGCACCATGTACCATGTCATGGTCCGTTGCAACCTGACACCAGGGTTACAATGCATGGAGCAGAGCTTGCTCACATATCACAAGTCTGCAGGAATTTGTTGCAGCCTCTTAATAAGTAGTATGGTCCAAGCTGGATTGCACGAATGAATGAACACTGTCTAGGCCAAGACTAGCCTGTTGTAAAGACTTTGTGGCCAAAGCCTGATTCAGTAGCAAGGTGAAGATCTTCGTGGTCCAGGGTAGCTTTTGGGTTGTGGTGCAATCAACACATGAATATGTGAATAGTGCTCTGCATGAAGTCATGTATGCTAAGCGAGTCTTGCAAGGATTGCCAGTTCCTGGATGGTTCGATTGTGGAATTGCACTCCGGTTGAGCTTGGCAATGCCACAGTTTCGCCTTGTCCAGGGAATTCGGAGGTTTGCAAATCCAATGTACAAATCTTTGAATCAATCGTCTTCAAAGAAGACATGCCTCGAAATTGATGCGACCTGCGAAACAGTGAAGCGATTGTTTGTTGGCTTGCTCGAGTGTTCGTTCGTTGGCCTGATCTTGCTTAATTACTGTTGTGGAGAAGGACTTCGTTGGGTTGTGATGGAACGAATGTACAAGGGTAAGATACAGCATAGTGGAGAAATGTGGAGAACACCTAATGGTTCATGCGTGTTTCTATGACATGTGCAGCCCTGCAGGCTGCAGGCAGAGCTGGTGGAAGCTATTCTTGACGTTCTCTTGGCAGAAGTGTTTCAGTTATACTTGTACCCACTGTGTGCATACAAACCATGCGCTGCTCTAGCAGCTCTAGGTGTCTGGTGCATGGTTTTGGGTTTGCTTTGGCCTGTGATGTCTGAGGCTTCAAGCCCAACAGCGCCAACTCAGCCCAGGCACAAGCGGCACAAGAGAGCAAAAAGACTGCTATTAGCAGATACTCCCTGTCGCCGAGCTTTTTTGCTGTAAGTCCTTTGCCGTCTATATAATGTTTGGGCGAGTCATGTCTACAGAGAAAAAAGTGAGGTCGAGGATGGCCCATGTTTCAACCGGAATACTACAAAAATGCTTGGTGAAGGAGAGGGTCTGCTGTGCAGCAGCCAGGGACTTCTGAAAGAAGATGTGCAGGCTGTGCAGATTGCAGCGGTCACAGTTCTTGAGTTCTTCGGTATTGCCAGGTCTTACTCATTGGGAGGTGCAGGCGTTGCCTCTAGCAGAGCTCCACAGGAGGCCATGCAGAAGTGGGAGGAAAGACATGAAAACTGCCAACGATTTGTCAGGCTCAGATCAGTGGATGTTTCCTACGACCATTGTCTTGAACGCCAAGAGCTGGAGGAGTTGAAAGGGAGCAAAGCGGAACCTTGAAAGCACTCACAAGTGCGAATACATGTTTCATAAAGATCATAACGATGAAGCTCGCTTTGGTTCAACAAAGATGTATATGGTAGAGATGAGTGGAGAGGTTGCCCCACCAATAGACACTAGATGGTTGCAGGCTCCGACAACTGCTCCAACCGGTGTGAAAGGTTTAAGTCAAGAACTTCTTCAGCCTTATTTTTGTTGTGGCTTGTGAAACACTGTTCCCGTGCCTTCTGTGGTTGGCTGGAATGACAATGTCAAGTGTCCGGTCCATATGACAGCTCAAAATGTTAGGTATGGATCAAATTGCCGGGCCCACAAGCGATCCGTAGTCCCGATCCATACCCCTTAATCCATACCTCCTGGTAAAGCACGCCAACATGAGTGGCGTTGAAGCAGCAAAGTCAACCCAGAGGAGAAAAGAGCCAACCCAACGTATCCTTTGTCTCCCTCTTACAGCCATGTTGATGGTAGCTGCCCACAGGACATGGTGGCTACAGCCATCAGGACCAAGAGTCCTAACTGACGCAAGTGTAAGGCTCAACAGTGTTTCAATTTCTTCTTAAAGCAGAAGGCATGTAAACATGGTCACTTTGAACATGCGTGGCATAGGCCGAACAACCAGACGCAGAAGTGGCGCTCATTTTGGCTAGTCTCACTGTTTGTGCGCGATGAGCCATTTTGGCTTAATCAAGGCAGTGGTTATGGATGCTGTTATCAATCGTGCTGAAGACGATGCCTTCCTCTTGTGGCACAAGTCACAGGTACGCAAATGGCACTTTTGAGCACTGACTGGATCTATGTCTTTGGGTTTCTGGCTCTTCTGATCATCGGTGGGACTGCAATAATCTTGGCAGGTAGATTCTATCGGGCAAGGCATGTTGCTGTTCTTCCAACAAAAAGAGCATGGCCACCGTGGTCGCCAGCACCTCCTCCACCTCCAAAGGTGCCAAAATTTCCACCACTACACCTGCCTGGCCCAGCAGGCCCCTCGAGTGCTTTGCAGCCAGCGCGTGTCCCAGAACTTCCAAGTTTGGCATGGCATGTCCCGAATTTGGCTTATCCTGGGGCACCTCCACTACTTTACTGTGCACATGTGTATGATGATCGAGAGCAAAGCTCAGAACCAGTGTCAAATCATTTTCTCAGGCACATGCAAACAGCCTTCTTACCAGCCTTCCAGAGTGCGCTACACTCAGCAACAGTGCCCTACAGCATGGACTGCATCCTTCAAGGATGGATCCAACCTTCACCAGATCCATGGCTTGTCCCAAATCCAAGCACACAGAGCACACAACCACCGTGGCAGCCTTGGCAGGTTCCACCCATGTCAGAGGCAGTACAGTCAAGTCCAAGTGCTCCAATCCTGGTGCACGCAGCTTTGCCAGCGATGGAGTCGGCGCTGGCGATGGAGTTGCCCGCTGTGCACCGGAAAACCCTCAGAGAAACAGCAGCAGCACCGGTTCTGCAGACACCATCCACTGCAACACTACGACCTCCGCTCTTGCAAGATGGGATAGATCAGCTACTGGATTGCAAGGTGCAAGAAGCACCAAGAAACAAAAGAGCAGCTTCCAATCCGCAATTAGTTCATTTACCTCGGTTGGTCTTTAAGATCATGCAAGAAGAAAGGAGATGTCGACAAACACCTGGTCCAGCAGCAACTTTCAATCCAGATGCGCCAAGGATAGGGAGAATGGACATCCGACCAAACGCGCCAGATTTCTTCACGGAATGGCAGCGGCAACTGAGCACTTATCCGCCAGCTCGACGCCAGCCAGGAGAAATCATTCCTCTTCCTGTTCTGCTGCAGCCACCTTCCAGTTCCATCACACCACCTATGACAATCCCAAGATCGCTCCCAAACGATCCCATTCCACACAGTCTAATCAACCATCCCAACAAATCGTGTCCAAGCTCACTGGATCGCTCACTTCCAATGCTTCTTGAGCATCCGGATCGGGGCCTGGCAAGCTTGAGGCTTTGGACGGTAGCAGCTGAGCCACGTCCTCCGAAGCCATGGACGATTCAACCAGCGAGCACAAGACCATTGGTGCCACTGACAATGCCAATGATGGATCAATTGTTCCACCAAGGATGCGTAAGGAAGACTGCAACAGCGCAGCTTCCGGCAGAAACAGAAGAAGCACCAAAGCTTCCAGAGCCTCAAACAAATCCAGCAATTGGAACTATATACCCAATACTGCATGGATGTGTACCTGGATGCAGAGAGCATGGTTCTTTTTCTGGATCAGTGAGCTGTGCGCGATGCCCAATACATGGGCATGGAGCCATACCTGGGAGGGCAGAAGAATGTAAGTGTGAAATGCAGCATGACATATTTCAGGATGTACTGATACATTCAGCCCCAGCCGACGTGTCCACTCCATGCAGAATGCCAAAGACACGGATCAGCCTCTCGGGCAATGCCAGGACGATCTTTGGTCACATGTGAGCTGCTCAATGAGCGCAAACCAGTAAAGGAAAGCCAATGCAGGACAAATGACATGTCAGACGGACGCCAGGCCTTTTCAACTGACCTACATCAAATTGGTGCCGTTGCACACAAAAAGATGTTTAAGCCAAAGGCCAGGGGAGTTGATGAAACAAATGCATACTCCGAGAGAAAGAGACAAGAACAGACATCAATCCGAATAAATCAAGTTGTGCTCAAAGAAGCATTTTTCAGCCACGGATGGGGTCAATGCAACCCTTTGATCATTGTCCAAGCGTCTTTGAATGTTTTCTCCTGAAAAGAAGACTTCGTGTGAGGGAGAAGGTGTGCTGCAAGACTTCTCAGAGGGATTTGCATCATTGGCTTCATGTGTTTCCCCCTTTCATTAACACTTGGAGGACGCTTGAAGGTTAATGTATGTCAGGATCAGGTACACCATCCTGAAGGGATATGTACATACCATGCCCTGGTTCTGGCGTGCCAAGACATGGCTTCAAAGAAGGAGCTGCGTGCGAAAGATTTCGCTTGTGCTGCGCAGCAGTCGGTGGAAGAGGGCAGCGAGTACCGTCGTCACGGAGCGAAGAAGCCCACGGAGCTCGAAAGGTCGCCGGGCATCGGAACTGACTCGCTGAAGGTGCCGAAGTTGGTTTCGCCAGACTGTCCATCGGTCCGTGTTTTTGCTTCGATCTTAAAAGGAAAAACCGGACGCTACTAGGGGCTCCTGGCCTTACTACTAGGAGCAAGAAGCTACTAGGGGCTCCTGGCATCACTACTAGTAACAAGAAGCTACTAGGGGCTCCAAAAAGAGGTTCTGGGGAATCCACCGGGCGACCAGGTAGCGATCTTGCGCGGCGACTTTGGCATACTTTGGCTGCCGGGCGCTAAGCAACAAATTTTCATGCGCTCTAAGGGCAATCGTGCGATGGGCAAGTTCAGTGCTGGTGCTGGCATTGAATCAGTGGGTTCACTCTGACCTCGCCTTTTTGCCACAGGCGAAGCCTGGAGCGAAACTCTTCGGAGGAAGCGATTCGCATGTTTTGAGGCATTGGCACCGAGAACCAATCGAACTGTTCCTTTCTTGTGCCAACGGCTTGAACAGACCAGTGTCTTTTCGATTTGTATTCACTTGCCCTCAGTTCCTCTTTTGGACCTGTTTGGCACCTTTGGCAAGTCTACAGCTCCTGCGTTTTGCAGCCATTTCCTTTCAAAAGTCCAGAGAGAATGGCGGGCGCAGTGGTACGTTGCGGCTTTTTGCAGCTTGCTGCAAATGGTTGAAATCAAGTTTGAGATCCCGACAGACCCAACAAGCTGGATCATCGCTACAATCATCCTCTTTGTTGCAGTTTGTCTTTGTGTCTCTATAGTTGTTGCTGCAAGATGTGCCTGTCGACGGTGCAAATCGCGAGTTCAAGACTCGCAGCACTCACAACCAACTTGGCCAATGTCACCGAAAGCTCAGGCGGCTCGGCACGCACGGACGAACCGTGACGTTCCAAGCCCGACACTTTTAGCCCCCCCAATTGTCACCATCACCGATGCCATCACCTCTTTCTGCTCCACCCTCTCGACCAGTTGGAATCGACTCCATCGACAGATGCGGCCCACGATGCACAGCACCACCACATCCTCCTTTCGTGCCCACCGACTGCGGTCCACCGGAGCGGTCAGTTCCACTCAACTCGGACACTTTTCACCCGCGACCACGGCAACTGACCGACACATTCGGCCAATTTGGGCCACAGTCAACTCCACCTCCTTTCCCACTCTCGCTGCAGGGTGGACTACAAACCTTCCCTGACCAGCCAACTACGAACCTGCCTTCTTTGACTTCTTGCTGTGCGCAGACAGCTGCAGAATGGACTTTGCCCATGCGCATTCGGCAAGAAACACCACCCTGGCACCCACACCCAGCAGAACACCTTTCAATGAGCTCTTGTTCATTCACAGAGAACCAACCCCGCCAACCAACCGAAACACAGCCTGCGCCAAGCCTGCTGACACCTTCTTCCCCGCCTTCGATCCTGCAGACCGATTCCATAGTAGCGATGAACCTACAAAGGCAACAACACCAGATGTCATACGACAGGATTCGGCGCATGGAACAGCCGTACGACAGCATTCGTCCGTGCCGCTGGGGCTGAGGCCCATGCCCATCAAAAGCTGAGTGCACAGGCACTGGATTGTTTGAGAAAGCACTTTCGACACAGATTGAACCCCTTGTCACTTCCAAAGATTTCAGTTTTGCACCAATGGTGTCAAGAGCTCTGGCTGAAAGGGCCAAGATGGCTGTCCCGATAGATTTCAGCAGTGATCAGGTCGATCACTGGACTTTGAAAGGGGAAGGGATGCCGCGCATAGCGGGCACCGCATCTGAGCGTGGAGGCTTGAAGGCACCGCTCCGCAAATGAACTGCAGACAAGCAGGTACAACACCACGTCTGCATATTTTTGAAGGGTTCTCTGTCAAAGCACAGAGCCAAATGTCACGCAATCTACTACTGTTACA